ATTCCCGATGTCGGTTACAGAGAAGTTGTAAAAGAACCGGTCAGAACTGTAGCAAATGACGCAGACCTTGCTAGGATAAGGGTAGTTGCTAGAAACACACTGCAAAGAGTGTCTCGCGGAGTAAATCGGATTTGAAAAACGAGCGCTTCAATACAACAATATTGTCGAGAACAACAGATGGTGTAATTACGTAAATTGGAAGTTGTATCCTTTATTTTGGTCTCTTGGAACACAGAAAGGTTTCCATAGGTTTGCCGTATAAAATTCATTTGCAAAGAGAAATCAACGACAACAAGATATTCTTTGGTGAAAACAACTATACTGGCTGTTACAAAGTCGTTTTGCAATAACAGTAAGCTAACCAGTTGAGTTACATACTTTAATCCTCAAACATTATGGTAAAAAGCTACAAAAATAAAAAGAACATCATAAATACATGTTTTGTACAAGTTATTATTAATTTGGCATTCCATAGAATTGTTTTTTGAATAGAGTTCCACTGTGTTAACAAAATCGGGTGGGTATAGTACAGGTAGGCCTAGGTATAATAAATCAATATGTAAGTCTGTTTATAAGGCAAGTATCAACCAGTAGGCTAATAATTCAAGGTAGGTTTTTGATGATTCAAAGTAGGTCTGAGCCGCTGTGGCATTCGCGTTGCTGTGTCCAACGACACCGAAGAAATAAAGCACAAGGGAAACACCATATTTTTTAAAAACATACGTTCGGGCGAGTGAATCTTTCTTTCAAAGTATAAAGGCAACGGTGTAATTTTTGGTACGAAAATGTAATAAATAAAAATGGACAAGAAATTCAAACATTCGGACATATTTCCTAGCAACCCCATGCTCATGTGCATTTGCGGATCTTCGGGTTGTGGAAAGACTTACCTCACTTTTAACATGTTGACAACACCGAACATTTTAGATTTCGAGTCTCTGTGTATTTACACGACTACTCCCGAACAATCCTATTATCAGTTTCTCAAAGCTTTGGAATACGTCTCGAGAGAAGACGTTCAAGACATTTTTCACTACTACGAAAGCAACGAAGACTTGCAAGAGAAGGCGGAAATAAAAGACATTTTAGACGGCTTTATCAAAGAAAAGAATCCTTCTCTGAAACCGACCGACGTTAAAGTGTTTCTGACTAAAAACGTCAACGATTTAAACTTGTCTAAAAACGACAACCACCGAAAGAACTTGATTGTCTTTGACGACTGCGTGGCAAGAGTTCTTCACGAAAGGAAGACATCACAACTGTCACTGCATATACCAATCCCAATCTTTCTACGCCATGTTTATCAGAAAGAACGCAAAGTGTTTTTTATTATTCGAATTAAACGACAAAGATTTATCTCAAATCATTCAGACTATAAATCACGGAATGGACAGAAACACATCAACGATAACCTATCCGAATACGCAGGAAGCGTGAGCGGTAAAAACAATATCGAATTCGAAGGTAATTTGAATCTGAACAAAATAAAACTGATCTGGAGAAATAACAGTCAAGTCGATTTCAACGTAGAAAATGCGTTGAATGCGTTACTAGGGTTCGATAAACGAATATTCGCGCAATCGACATTGGAGCCACACAAGGCCAACATCAAGAACGGTATCGACGTGATCAAC